GAGTAGAAAATGAAGGCTAATCATGTTTTGGGTGTACTATTCCTTTAATTGAAATACTGGTGTCAAATACAGTAGTACTACAGGAAGTAGTTTAGCTTGCAGTAGTGCAGTAGTCTACGGCTTGCAGTAATACTACTGTATTTTTTTTTACATCCAAATAAATATGTTTCACACAACGTCTGTTGTTAAATCCCTAAAATCTGTTCACTGTTCCTCCTATCATTCCTGTCCCTTTCTTTATTCTGTCTTGCCTCCACAAACCACCTACTCACTCTAATTGATTTAGGTCTACCTCCTGAGGGGGCGACAGCGTGGGCGTATGTACACTTTTTTTTGAGTGTGTGGCGGGAGGGGGGGCTCCTTCCACCTTCATTTGCAATTCAGCTCATGGAAAACTGTGCAGAGGTGGGATCTGTCAGAGCTACAATGCGCAATGCCTCTATTCCCCCCCCAAAAAAAAGACAAAAGAGCTCACATACAGGCAATGTGTCAGATTGTTCTGCCTGCTAATGAGAGGAGGCAAACTCTCCTGGCTGCTAAAGGACTGCAGAGGCTGAAGGAGTGACACATGGAGGGGAGGAGGCAAAGACACAGAGGGGGGGTTTACCTGGCGTCTGCTTCGCTGTAGTACTCCCTTGCCACGATGTCTTCAAAGAGTTCCCCTCCTGTCACCCTGAGAAATATAAAAGATGGAGTTTGAAATTGCACACTTCTGTTTCACTCAACGTGCTTTTAAAAGACACACACGCGCGGATAGGAGGGGGATGTCCTCATTAGGGGGAAACCCCGGCTGCAGGATTCTCTCTGACAGTGTTGCCATGGAGACTGGCTCCAGTGCGGGGGAGTTGTGGCTGCGCGCGTGTGTGTGTGTGTGTGTGTGTGTGTGTGTGTGTGTGTGTGTGTGAACTAAAGCGGGATCCGCAAGCAGGGAGGGGAGGGTGGGTGTGTGCGGTTATGTAACGGCGGGGAACTGCTTCAGAAGCAAGGAGAGGATGAGGAGAGAAGGAGAAGGAATGCAGGGATGCGGATGTGAAGTAAGGAAGGGAAGTTTGGAAGGAGACAGATGCAGGAGAGACTGAAGGGTGTGTGTGTGTGAAATCGGAGGCAGGATTTAGAGAGGAAGGAAAAGATACAGTAGAGGAGAAACTTACAGGTCAAAGATGAGGTAATGGAAGCCTTCCTCTGAAATACTGTCATGAAGACGGACTGCAAGAGAGGAATCAAGATCCTTTTTAATAGGATTAGGCACAAATTTTAAAGCAAACACTTAAAAAAATTCTCCAAATTGCAATGGAGCTGCACAGAGCACGCTCAGAGGTTTCAGTCTGCAGAAAAGCCGACGGATGCCTCTGAGGTCAGGCCGACACGTTCCCCTTTCTATCAAATCCTCGAGCAGCTGTGAGATGTCACACGCTGACACATACAAAGCCCAAATGTGTCGGCTCTGTCATAACCACGTGCTCGTGCTTGTTGCAGCCTGATCATCTAAGTCCGATGCAGATGGACGAGCTGCCTGCAGCATTTCTGCAGTCTTAACTGGCGGTTCCAGCAGATGCAAGGTTTTCCTTTGGATTTGTTCTATTTAATAAACACTGACATGATATAATCAGTATAATCAATCCAAACAGCAATACCAATGTATAAAAATAAAACATAAGGTAAGGACTGACTGCTCTGGCAGTGAGGTAATTGTTTTATTGGCCTGATATCAGAAAGCATCTCTGCATCACCTTCTTTTAGCAGGTGGTGCTCCATAGTGCATCGTCTCAGAGCAACAAGCCTGTAGTTTACAAGTCCTGTACATTTGTGACCCTGCCTATGAAAACCCAGCTAAAGTCATTTTTTGGTGAATCTCAACTTAATGTATAAAACCATTCTTAACATTGCGTAGAATGGTTTTATACATTAAGTTGAGATTCACCAAAAAATGACTTTAGCTGGGTTTTCATAGGCAGGGTCACATTTCATGGGGAGTGATAAAATGGTGGAGCACTTAAAAAAACCTCAGGGGATTGCTGAGCTACCTACGCTCCATGTAATTAGAAAAACAAACATAAAAGTAACGTAACTTCTTTTGTATAATATCCTTGAACTACATTTGCCTTCCAAGCAGACTCCTTACGTAAGGGGAGCTGTGGTCGCCAGATGTCATCGATAAGCTGATTAAATACTAATGGTATTTAGTTCAACAGAGTAATGCTGAAACTGATAGTGGCGGTGCGGAAACCTCAATTCTATTCAGTTTATTTCTATAGNACTAAAGCGGGATCCGCAAGCAGGGAGGGGAGGGTGGGTGTGTGCGGTTATGTAACGGCGGGGAACTGCTTCAGAAGCAAGGAGAGGATGAGGAGAGAAGGAGAAGGAATGCAGGGATGCGGATGTGAAGTAAGGAAGGGAAGTTTGGAAGGAGACAGATGCAGGAGAGACTGAAGGGTGTGTGTGTGTGAAATCGGAGGCAGGATTTAGAGAGGAAGGAAAAGATACAGTAGAGGAGAAACTTACAGGTCAAAGATGAGGTAATGGAAGCCTTCCTCTGAAATACTGTCATGAAGACGGACTGCAAGAGAGGAATCAAGATCCTTTTTAATAGGATTAGGCACAAATTTTAAAGCAAACACTTAAAAAAATTCTCCAAATTGCAATGGAGCTGCACAGAGCACGCTCAGAGGTTTCAGTCTGCAGAAAAGCCGACGGATGCCTCTGAGGTCAGGCCGACACGTTCCCCTTTCTATCAAATCCTCGAGCAGCTGTGAGATGTCACACGCTGACACATACAAAGCCCAAATGTGTCGGCTCTGTCATAACCACGTGCTCGTGCTTGTTGCAGCCTGATCATCTAAGTCCGATGCAGATGGACGAGCTGCCTGCAGCATTTCTGCAGTCTTAACTGCCGGTTCCAGCAGATGCAAGGTTTTCCTTTGGATTTGTTCTATTTAATAAACACTGACATGATATAATCAGTATAATCAATCCAAACAGCAATACCAATGTATAAAAATAAAACATAAGGTAAGGACTGACTGCTCTGGCAGTGAGGTAATTGTTTTATTGGCCTGATATCAGAAAGCATCTCTGCATCACCTTCTTTTAGCAGGTGGTGCTCCATAGTGCATCGTCTCAGAGCAACAAGCCTGTAGTTTACAAGTCCTGTACATTTGTGACCCTGCCTATGAAAACCCAGCTAAAGTCATTTTTTGGTGAATCTCAACTTAATGTATAAAACCATTCTTAACATTGCGTAGAATGGTTTTATACATTAAGTTGAGATTCACCAAAAAATGACTTTAGCTGGGTTTTCATAGGCAGGGTCACATTTCATGGGGAGTGATAAAATGGTGGAGCACTTAAAAAAACCTCAGGGGATTGCTGAGCTACCTACGCTCCATGTAATTAGAAAAACAAACATAAAAGTAACGTAACTTCTTTTGTATAATATCCTTGAACTACATTTGCCTTCCAAGCAGACTCCTTACGTAAGGGGAGCTGTGGTCGCCAGATGTCATCGATAAGCTGATTAAATACTAATGGTATTTAGTTCAACAGAGTAATGCTGAAACTGATAGTGGCGGTGCGGAAACCTCAATTCTATTCAGTTTATTTCTATAGTGCCAATTCACAACACATGTCACCTCAAGACACTTTACAGTTCACCAGATCATCCAGTCAGATGGATTCAAAGTTTTCTATCTAAGGAAAACCAGTTGATTGCATCGACTGATTCAGCAATCCCTCACACTAAGCATGCTTGTAGCGACAGTGGAGAGGAAAAACTCCCTTTAAACAGGAAGGAACCTCCAGGAGAACCAGGCTCAGTGTGAGCGGCCATCTGCTGAGGCCGACTGGGGTTCAAGGAGACAGAAGCAGAGATACAAAGCAACTGTAAAAGGCGCCCCCCCCAATATAATCAGCTAAATTCTGTAGGTTGTAATCAAATACTGTTGAAGTCTAACATCTAGTATCTCTGCAAACAGCATAGGAGTATTTGCCAAGTACTAAGAGTGAAAAAGAATATTTGCACTGAAATCAGGTTTTTCACATTTTCACCACCATCAAATGATCATAAAATAACAAGACTACAAGGTCCATAACTTTTTTAAATGATTTGTAAAAAAAAAAAAAAACCTTAAAAACAACAAATAATTGATTAATAATGAAAATATAAAGAATTTATTTCTTAAATAAAACATTTTATTTACAACTTTTTAAGATGTAAAAGCTTCTCAAAAGCCCCAGATATTGAGAGTTAAAGGGTGAGATTCAGTTAATGCTTGGCTCTTGCCAAACACGGCTACTAAAATCAAACAAAAAGCAATAAAAAGAGTTAATAAAATAATATTTGAGATTGGAACCCCGTCTCCATCAAACATTGTTTCCATCCTCCACTTATTTCAACCTTGAAATAAACAGCAGCTGTCGTTGATCTTTGATCGTATTCATCTTATTATGTTTGAGTTGGTTTGTTTTTAAAGAGCCAAGCTTCTAGGTGGCCGTGATATGAATGAGATATAAAAAAAAAAGGCTTACCGATGTTGGGATGTTTGAGCAATCTGCAGATCCGGGCCTCTCTCTCCAGCTTCTGATGGTCTACAGGAGCATTTACCAGAACACAGGCAGTGGATTAAAATCAGTGGCGTTCAAATTACAGTAATCATGTAAACTCTCTGAAGGGTTTCTGTTCTGTGACGCTTGGATGTTATGAATGTTTCAAATCTAAGCTTAGAACAGTATGATAAGAGAAACATTAGAAAGGAGAGAGAAAACCAACAGACTAGAGGAAATTAAAGAAAATTAAGTTTTTAAAACTAATAATAATAAGTGAACTTTGTTGATCTCACATGGGAGAAATTTACCTCTGCATTTAACCCGTCCCCCTTGGAAGGCAGTAGGCTGCCATCATGGGACGCCTGGAGAGCAGTATGGGGTTAAGGGTCAGACTGTCAGTCTGTAGGAGTGGGACTCGAACTCAGAACCTCAGGATTCCAAGCCCTATGCCCTAACCACTAGGCCTCCAATTATGAGTATTAAAGTCGTAGGGAAACAGCTGTTCCAGCATTTCCGAATTCTCCCTAGTGGTACACAACTTTACACGAGTGAATAAAGTGAATGTGATTGGTCGTTTATCAAGGGGGCGGGATTGTTGTGGTGGAAGTTTCGCAAGCAAGTTTCATTGTGGCCGGTTTGTTGGAAGCATGTTGCTAACCAGTTAGCAACTTAGTGCTAGTAGGTTCCCAATGGGAAATTCCATTGGGACCAAGTAGCACTAAATTGGTGACTTAGAAACGACACTGTGAAGGAACGCTATGGACAGAGGAAACATGCAAGAGGAGGAGAGTTTGGTGTCGGAGGTCGTGGATGAGTCTCCTCCGTCATCCATTTTTTATTTGGAGAAGGAAAGCGGGGACGAAGATGTTGTGGAAGAGGACGCCAGGGCGGCAGAAGCTTGGTTTGGTGTAGAAGGCTTCCAGCCGTACATGTTTGAGCCCTTGCCTCGCAACGCTGCCAGTTCTGTTAGCTCTACGCCTGCTGAAGACACAGACGTCCATCCCCGTGAACACTGGGACGGAACTCAATGGGAAAGGAAATAATTCTTATTTCTTATTTCAACCGTTTCGTATATTAGCTGCAACATATGAATCAAGATGCTATGACTGAAAAAATTTGATTGACAGATGACCGTTGATATATGATTGGCCGAATTTAGGCGTTCAGGCTGACGTAGAACTAACTGGCCTGCAGAAGATAATGGAAAAAAACCCACTGATTTTAAGACAGGATTGTTTTTTAAATAGAAATTTTCTAAATTTTGGGACAATATCGTCTGATAAAGAGTACATTTATATACATGTTTAAGCCAGAATGATTTGACATTTAAATATGACTTCCCTTATGACTTTAAAAGAAAATGCAGAGAAATTCAGATAGGAAAATGGGAAGGGGTTCTGATTGGGAAAATGTCTCTCAGCAAGAAGATCCATGGCTTAATCTTTTTTTTTTTTTAACCCTAGAATCGATCCACAGTAATAACAACATCCTCTAAAGAAACAATTCTTCCTAATCTGAGCAAGGCGGAGGAATAGTAACAGAGATCAGCACTGAGGCTGATGCCAGATAACAAGCTGTCTCAGAATAAAAAATGACTTAGGATCACATTTTGATAAAAGCTGGATACAACCCCTGCAAGGGGTGTCCCCTTCCTTACAAGATGTCAGTAGAGCAATGTTTTTTTCTGCACAGGCCATATATGATTGGTTGTTTAATTACCAGGAGTCAAGTCTTAATTGTAAGTTTGCCGCAGCTTCTAATGAGCTTTGTTATCCATTATCAAACCCAGTCCTGGGATGAATAACTGATTTAGACATGGTGTGCCAGTGTTTTACCATTCTAATTGCTTTTCTTCAGCCTTAAAAAAAATCTTACAAAGGTTATTCCAAAATGTTTTCTTCTTCAACAATTGTGACATTTGAGGGGCATCAAATAATTTAGACAGGGGCCAACAGGGGTCAACAGTGCCCCTATAGAACTGATCATGTCCCCTTTTATGGCCCTTGTTCCAAAGACGTAATACAAAATAAATCCATGATAGATAAATAATTTGTTGGTACAGAAACAACACAAAATAGGTTCCTTCAACCAATTACATTTTTTGTTTTTACAATGTTCTTAAAAACAACCCTATAAGCTTAAAGCATGAGTCATATTGAGATAGGATCTCAGTTTTCAGCTGTTGGATCTGAGGTTTCCAGAGCTGAATCAATAAAAAAACTAAATAAAAAAGAGGGAGTGTTGGCCTAGTGGTTATAGAGCAGTGTGCTTGTGCTCTGAGAAGGTTGCAAGTACCTGGTTGGATCCCCGCAACCTGCACCTAGGTCCCTGAGCAAGACCCTTAACCCCACACTGCTCCCCAATAGGATGGGTTAAATACAGAGGTAAATTTCTCCAATGTGAGATCAATTAGTTTCAATTTAAATAAAAAAAGAAAAGTGCTCTTTGGTTCACTTTATATATCAAACAATGAACTTTTGTTATAGTTTTAAGCATTTTGTTCAGTGCCCCTGTAAACAAACACTGGCCCCATCCAGGCCCTCTGGTAAATTTGGTCTAGGACTGCCACTCATAACTATTATGTTATAATAATATGTTAGAAAAGAATTCTATAACTAATGGAGAAAATAAAAAAATAGGATCAGAAAGGAGCAAATCTAAAACAAATTCATCTGTAAATCAGAGCAGGAAAGAAAGAGAAAAGAGGTGAGAGAGGTAAACGTTGGAGATATTTTAAGACAAAAACTACAAAACCTGAAAGAAAGGTGTGAAATAAACAAGATCAAAATACAAACTAATACCAACTGTAAATCCAATATGGAGAGCATTCTGTTCCTTTATAGTTGCAAGCAAACAACATATCTTAAGATAAATATAATAAAGAATATATATATAATTGAAAAAATATAAGAAACAACAAAGGTACTGTTATAACTTTTTATGCTAATTAGGAATTTAACAAAGTTTAATTTCCATATTGCTTTGTTTTGGTCATTTCCTTTTATAGAACGTGTTCTTTGCTTGTTAGAACAATAATGGAACGAAATTCACTCCATGAGTGAATTTCTGAAAAACCAGGAAGTGAGAAATAGAAATGGAAAATCCTGAGGAAATGTGAGTTATATCTAAAAATCCGCTTCTAGCTGAGTGACAGCTGCTCCTTCCCTGCAGTCCAAACGCACAGCTGCTCCAACCATGACATGCAAAACGATGAAACTCTTCCTCCTCCCAGAGCAGAAGGCAGGACGGAGAGCAGCTGTTGTATTTTTAATAAAGGTGCCATGTTATAGACTTCAGCGCAGTCTCACCCCATCATGTCTGTTCTGAGTGATAATAACACCAACGCTGCTATTTTCAGACGTTCTCTGAGGCGTTTGCTCATTATTTGATCAGTATAGAAAAAAAAATGAGCAGGAGAAGAAAAAAACAGATGTTGCTTCGTCATAGATGGACTGACAGGGACGGAATTACATCTTAAAGCAAATGAAGAAGAAAGAAAGTGATTAAATGAAACTCTGCTTTCTTCTCAGGTCATACAGTGGTTTGAAAATAGCACATTTCAAACAGAAACTTACTTCATGAGTTAGTTTTATAGCAGAATGATAGATAGACCCGTTTCAGGATGGGTTATATTCCTTTTTTTAAAGGGGTCATAGAATGCAAAACTGAGTTTCCATTGTCATAGATGAATAACGATTGTTCAGTGGGATAAATGGACGTACAGAGAAGTTCAAACCCCATAACACCTCCTTTCTGTGCAAATCTAATAATTCTGAACTTGCACCATAAAACGGGCGAATTCAAATGAAGCCCAGAGTTGACGTAAACTCGGGGATGTTGCCTTATTTGGTTCTGGCCTGTACTTTTGTCACGCCCTGAAATTGACATTCAGACCAGCCCACTGGTTCACTGACCCAAAGAACATAAATAGATGTAGATGTAAGACAACAGTTTAGCTGTTTAGCCTACAGTTGGGTTTACTTCTACAATAATTACAAAGCAGGCAGTTCTCTATTGAAAACTAGCAGAACCACGGGTATAAATGCAGAGTTCCAGGCTGCCTGAAGGAAGGGGACATTTTTTACAGTCTTCCCGAGGATCCGAGGACACGACAGGCATGGATTATTTTTGTCTATCAGAAGGTTTGATGCTCAGCTGGTCATTTGCTCTAAGCATGTTACTGAAGACAGCTTTCACAGTCTTATTTTTTTGGTTGACTGCTGGGCTGCTGACTGGACCGGACCTGAGCAGAAAGCAATAAGCCGCCCGTCCTCAGCCAGAGGAGGGGGCATCTGTTGGCTGGTCAGGCAGGGGGAAGCACAGGGCCGCCATTGTCCAGGCTACCGTCACCGGGTCGGGTTCGGTCGCTCCGTCGCCCGCTGGCTCCCTGCCCCCCTCCACCAGAGTTCCCAGACCAGCCCAGGAGCTGACGGCTCAGTTCCAGTGCCCGGTGTGTTTCGACTACGTGCTGCACTGTAGTTGACCTTAATCTCGGATGATTTTGAAATTCCCCCCCGGACATTTTTTTAGGTATGAAAAGTAGGACATGTCTGGGAAAAAGAGGACGTCTGGTCACCCTACCATATCAACAATTTGATGTTTCAGTGAGTGAGTGCTTGTTGCTATGATGCATCGTTGCTCAGCAGCTTCGCTCGTTGTAAACCAACCAATCAGCTCACAGCTCATCTAAATATTAATGATCATACCATAAAAGGAAGTAAACCTGTCGTTTCATTCTGGGATTTTAACCAGGCTTACATTAGGGCTCATAGAACAGCAAATATGCCATTTTCAACCCAACCAATGTTACTCATCCTATTCAGAGACCTTAAGGACCAGATACCCTATAGAATCATTCTATGACCCCTTTAAAGGTTTAGCTGCTGTTTAGAACTCAGCTTTAGATTGGTAATGAAGCCATCATTTGCTGCTTTCTGAAGAACAGACTCTACAATTTCTACAAGCTGTCAACAAACAAGCGCTAGAATATGCTAATGCCTGCTTTTAGATCCAGGACACACATAATGATGATGAGATGCTGCTTCTTCTGCATATTTGCTGGCTATCTTATAACGCCTCGTGATTCCCTTTTTTTCCTCACCTCTGGCAGAGAGCTTTTTGGTGTTGATGATTTTGGCGGCGTACTCTTGGCCCGTGCAGAGTTTGACACAGCGGCGCACCACAGAGAAGGCCCCCCTGGGAGACAAGAGACAGCACAAAAAAGGAGGAAGAAGATGGGTCAGCTGTCGTAAAAGCTTTGTCAGCATCAAAACGGATATCTCAGCTATCAGACACTGACCTATCTGGCCTCAGCCGATAGCAACAGATATGTGAAGGATTTTAAAACACTTTAAGACACAGATTTAGTGCTATTTCCCTCCTCTCTTCCCTCGGTGGACTGGATACCAACCCAAATGTTGGTTAAATTCACAAGGCTTGCCTGAAACAAAATTCATCCCGGACTTACTTTCCTCTTTTTATTCCCATGGTATCACTCTGCTCAAATCCACCTCACTCTTAATCACTAATTTGGGGTGGAGCTAGAGGAGGGCATGGATGACCAAATCATTGGCCATTGAATTGTAGAAGATGTTC